CCCGGGGACCCCCCGATCCCCCCGAGCCCGCGGACCCCCCGAGCCCACTCACATGACGGCGCACTGCGCAAAGGACAGGTAGTTCACCAGCACGTCCAGCCCCTTGTTCTCATCGTTGAGGAACTCCCGCACCCATCTGCAGCACCGGGGACTCATCAGAGCCCGCAGGAGTCGGGGATCCCCCCCCGGCACAACCCCCCTCGGCACCGAGACCCCTGTCCTGGCACAGGGGCGGCGAGGGCACGGCGGGGGCACTGCCCGGGTGGGCGCAGCCCCGGCGCTATCGGCGGTGCCAGCGCCGGCGCGGGGTTATCTGAGCAGCGCAGGGCAGGGAGGGCGCGGGCTGGGCGGGAGACGGGGCTGGGTGCGGGGGCTGCACCCCCACCCTGGGAACCCCGGGGGGAAGGGGGGGATTCGGGATGCCCCCATCCTTGGGAGGGTGCTGGGGTGCACTTTGCGGGGTGCTGTGCCTCGGGTGGAAACCACCTAGGGAAAGGAGGGGATTCGGGGTGCCCCCACCCTTGGGAGGTTGTTGGGGTGCACTTTGCGGGGTGCTGTGCGCCCAGGGTGGAACCCCGCTGGGAAAGGAGGGGATTCGGGGTGCCCCCACCCTTGGGAGGGTTTTGGGATACACTTTGCGGGGTGCTGTGCCCAGGGGTAAGGACGGGGTGGGGGTGTCCGGGGTGGGGGTTCCCCCAGGAGCACCGGGGGTCCCCAGTCCTGCCCAGGGCCGTGCGTCAGGGAGCCCCGGGGGCCGCGGCCGCCCCTTTCCTGCCGCCGCCAGCCCCCTCGCCTCAGCCCGTTTCCTGTCTCCGGCTGCTGCTATTTTGGGTCCGTGGGCAGGGACGAGCGGGGCCGGCGGCGGGGAACAACCGGCACGTGAACGAGCCCCCCCGGGCACGGCCGTGCCCACCGGGCAACCTCCGCCGATGTCCCCGACACCCCCGGGACGGCCCCGTCCCGACCGTCCCCCCCGCCCCGCGCGGCTCCGGGGCATCCCGGGGCATCCCGGGGCATCCCGGGGCGGGTCGGGGTGTCAGCGGCTCGGGGATGGGGCCGACCGAGCCCTCCGGTCGGTCGGGAGGAGCCGGCCAGGATCTGGCCCCGCTGCCTCGTTCAGGGCGTCATCGCCGGCCCATCCGCCCCGGCATCCGCCCCCGGGAGCTGCCCGCGGGCCGGGGCAGGAACCGACCCAGTTCCTGCAGCGCCTCCGGCTTCCCCTGCAGCTGTGCGGGGCTGCTGACCGGACCCCGCCGTCCCCCCGGGACCCCGCGGGCCATCGGAACTCGGCACCCCCAGCCTGGACCCCACAGCCCCTCTCGGGACCCCACCGGGACCCCACAGCCCCTCCCGGGACCCCACAGCCCCTCCCGGGACCCCCCCACTCACCCGATGTGGTTCGTCCTCAGGCTGATCTCCAGCTCACGCAGCACCTTGGTCGACTCCTGCACCCTCCTCCTGAACTTCTGGAGTAGAGCAAGACTGAGCCGTGCCCCCCAAACCCCCCAAAGCTTCCCCAAACCCCCCAAGTCACCCCCAAAGCCCCCAAGTCACCCCCAAAGCCCCCAGCCCCTCACCTTCCTTGTGACACCGGGCTCCAGGAAGCTGCGCAGCTTCTGGATGTAGGCGTGGGGTGGGCTCTTCACCTGGAACCGCTCCTGGGGACAACAGAAGGGTGGTGGTGACACCAGGACGGCCGCACAGTCCCCAGGACCCCCATGGGCCACCCAGCCCCACCTGGTCACAGATGAGGTCCCACTTCTTCTCGTTGTCATACTGGCGCAGCAGCCGGGCTTTGTCCGGGGGCAGGTTCATGGAGCTCTGGGGACAGACGGGGGGTGTCACCCTGAGGGACACGGGGACCGTGCCCCCCAGAGGGCACCGAGACCCACGGGACAGCCTGGGTGGCCCCAAAAAGCACCCACAGCACAGCCAGGGTCCCCTCTAAGGGCGCCCTGACCCGTGGCATAGCCAGAGTCCCTGGCACCGGGATGCAGCAGCGGGCACAGATGTGGCACGGGCACAGATGTGGCACGGGCACAGCAGTGCCACTGGGGCCCGTGCCAACCACCAGCGGCACCAAATCTCGCCATCCCTGACGCATCCTTCCTGTCTGCAGCCGCTTCCCTGCCGCAACCGCAGCCTCCGCTGCCGACCGTGGCACAAGGCCAGGCACTGGTGCCAGCTCCCCGGGACACCGGACATGATGCCCAGCACCAGTGGCAGCTCCCCAGGACACCAAACACAACGCCTGGCACTGGTGCCAGCTCCCCGGGACACCGGACAGGACGCCTGGCACTGGTGCCAGCTCCCCGGGACACCGGACAGGACGCCTGGCACCGGTGGCTGCTCCCCGGGACACTGGACACAAGGACCAGCGCCGGTGCCAGCTCCCCGGGACACCGGACACAAGGCCCAGCGCCGATGCCAGCTCCCCGGGACACCGGGCACAAGGCCAGGCTCCAGTGCTGTTCCGGGGTCACTGGGAACACCCCAGGATCCTCCGTGTGGGATGTGGCACAGGACAAATGGGCTGCCACAGTGGGCACCAGGGATGCCAGAGAGGGCCTGCCCCGACGGGCAATGACACCCCAGGGAGAGATGCCAGCCCATGTGGGCGATGTCACCCTAGTGGGAGATGCCACCGAGCTGGGTGATTGTCACCCCAGTGGGTGCTGCCAGCCTGGTGGGAGATGCCACCGCAGGGACGCAGCTCGGGGTAGCCCCGTTACCAGGAGCCGTCACCGTGGCTGCTCCACCCCTCGTGTCCGCTGAAACCGGCCCTGCCCTGCTCTTCCCGATCCCACGGGAAACCGGGACAGAACCGGGGCAAGGCGTCCCGCAGGTTCCCACAAGACCGGCCGCCAGCGCGGTGCCACCAAAACTGCCCCCAGAGGGGCACCGTGCCCTCCCCACAGGGCTGCGGATATTCCCCTCTGGCCACCAGAAAAATCCCGGGCGTCCCGGGGAATGGGGGCGGGAAGGAGGCACAGGGACCCCGGCTGGGGGCGAGGGGCGCCCGCGGGGGGCTTTGAAGCGCGGCCGCCGGTCCCGCCGTTCCCGCCGCTCCGTTTCCTGCCTTTGTGGTGGGAGCGCGGCCGCTCCCGGCCGGCCACTTCCTCCGCCGCCCGCCCCACCGGGAGCCCCCATGGTTATCCCGGGGCTGAATCCCACCGGGAAACGGCGGCACCGGTGCTGGAGTCCGCCCCGGGGCTGGGGGGCTCCGGGGCGGATCCTCGCCTCCGGGGCCGCCGGGCTTCCATCACATGATGGAATATTTTCCGCCCCCGGCAGCAGCCGGGACGGCACCGGGAGCTGCCGACGGCCGCGGGGACATTTTGGGGGAGGCAGGTGCCGCCACCCTGCAAAGTGACCCCCCCCGGCACCGGTGTCGCCCGGCAGGACGCGTCCCCCCCGGCCCGGGCCCCGCGGGGACCGGCGGCCGCATCCGCCCCGCGTGGGATGCGGGACGGGCAGCGCCGCCGCGGGCGGGAGCCGCTCGGCACCGGCGGGACGCGCCCCCGCCGGGGGTGCCGGTGCCCCCCGGTGCCCCCGATTTCGGCTTCCAGAGCCCCGTGGGACCACATTCGGCATTTCCTGCCCGGCTGCGGCTTCCGCTGGCGGCGGCTCCCACCGGGATGGCGCGGCCGGTTGCCGGGGGGCACCGGTGTCACCCAGCCGTGGTGTCCCCGCGGTGTTCCCCTCCCAAAACAAAACCGGCGCTGCGGAGGGGCCACCGGGACGGCTCGCGGGCCACCCAAGCGCCGGTGGGACGCCTCCGCGGTGTTGGTGGTCCCGGTGGCACCGGGGGCACTGCCGAGCCACGTCCCGGGGCCGCGGTGGCAGCAGGGCGGCCACCGCCCCGGCTGTGACAGCGGACTGGGGACCGCGTAGGACACCCGCGCCCCAACGGGAACCACTTCATCCGCCGGGAAACCGGGAAGCCCCGCACCCCGCGGGGAATCCCAGCTCCGCGGTCCCCCGCAACCGCGGGGAAAACCCAACTGCAGCCCCGCGCGCTGCCCCGACCGGACTTTCCCGGCTTGCAAAGTCCCCGGGCCTCAGGGGCTCCCGTGGTGGCACCGGGAGTGGCGTCAGCCCCGGGGCTGTCCCGGGTGGGGTGCTCCCCACGGCCCCGCGCCACTGCCCATCCCCGCGGGCACCGGCGCTCCCCGCCTGCCCCTGGCGGCTCCGGGCGGCGGTGGCGTCCCGGCGGTGCCCGGTGCCCGCCAACTGGTCCGGGAGAGCGCATGAGGAGGAGTCCCGGGGAGGGATGAACCGGGGGGCGCTCCGCGGGAACACCGACGGAGCGAACAGGCGAAGTGCACCGGGGGCACATCGGGAACGGAGGGTGAGCACCGGGAACTGGGGACCGCGGCGGGGGTCGGCCTCTCACCAGCACTAGGGCGAAGCGCTCCTCCAGCTCGCAGGGCTCCGGCATCGGCATCTTGCCTGGGGCGAACAGTCCGGCTCCCCCCGGGGCCGCCGGTGTTCCCGGGCCCCGGGGCAGCGCCTCCCCGTCCGCGCTCTCCACGTTCCCCATCCCCGGCCCAGGCACCGGGGGGCGGTGGGGGAGGCTCAGCCCGTCGTGTCCGGCGCTGCCACCGCCTCCCGGTCCCGCCCCGCCCGCCCCGCCCGGTCCCGCCCCGGCGCTGCCGGTCCGCGGCGCCGCCGCCAGGGGGCGCCCTGCAGGGCGGCGGCGCCACGGGAGGGCGCCCGCGGGCCGGCAGCGAGCGGGGCGCTCCGATTGGCTGGGCCGCGCCCACGCCGACCAATCAGCGCCGCGCTCGCGCGCGGGGGCGGGCACTGCTCGTCCAACGGCGGCGCTCGGGCGCGGCCCGAGCCGTGACGGCCGCTCGAGGCTAGCCCCGCCCCGGGCGGTGACGACAGCCAATGGGGTGAGGCGGGAGGCGGGACCGTGCGGGGTCTCAGCCAATGAGCGGCGGGGGCGGGGCGCAGAGCTCGCGGCCTGGCACGGGCGGCGGACGCAGGTGCGGGTGGGGGGCGCGGGCGGGGCGGCCCCGGGGGTCCCGGCGGGTCCCGGGGGGTCCCGGGGGGTCCCGGGGCGGCTGCGGACCCCGGGCGAGCCCCACAACACCCCCGGAACTCACCCCGAGCGGCCCGCGGGGGTCCCGCCCCCACCAGGCCCCGTGGAGGGGGGGGGGTTGGGCCGCGGGGGTCTCGGCCCGGTTCTAACGGGAGGATCGGGGGGGACGCGGGGGCAGCGGGGCGGCGGAGCGGGGGAAGGGCCGGGGCAGCCGGGCGGTGGGGGGGCAGGAAGCAGCGGTGGGTAAAGGTCGCTTGGCGCTGGCAGGGGCGGCAGCGGCGAAAGCGAAAGCGGCGCTGGGGGCGGGGAGGGCGGCGCGGGGCCCGGGACCGGCACTCAACGGGCCCGGGGCCCGGCGGAACCGCCTGGGGACACCGCGGCCAGAGCGGTGTCACCCCCGGGAGAGGGGGCTGTCACACCCCTGTCACACACACACACCGCCCGCCGGGGCTGTCCCCGTGGCCGCAGCTCCTCCTCTGCCGTGCCCTCTGACCTGCGGCGTGCCCGGGGCTTCGTGGCACCGGCCCAGGGGTGGCAGCGGTCCAGCGCCTCCCTTTGTCCCTGTCCTGCTGTCGCTGTGCCCCCCTGGGCCGTGCCGGTGTGGCACCCTCCTCTCCTGCACCCTCCTCTCTGCCAGGGCAGCAGCTTCAGTGTCCCCCCGCTCCCTGTGAGCCCTGTTCTGTCCCCTCCGCCCCTTGGGGACAGCTGGCTTCTGCCACCGGCTGGGCAGGTCTGGCTCCAGCAGCTGCCACAGGGGACAGAGCCGGCCGAGCCGGCTGGACCAGGAGGAGGAGGGCGAGGAAGATGAGGAGGAGGAGGAGGAGGCCGTGCCGGGAGCCTCCCGCTGCCAGGGCCACCTCTGGGGACGTCATTACGGGCACTAATAGTCACCTGGCACAAAGGCGTTTCCAGCTGCCGGCAGCGCTCCCACGGCACCGGGAGCTCTCCGGGAGCTCCCCTGGCCTCCGAGCAGCCCTACTGCAGGATCCCCGAGGGCTGCCCTGGCCCTGCAACAGCCCTGCAACAACCCTGCAACAACCCTGCAACACCCCAGGGCCCCCTGGCCCTGCAACAGCCGGCAGCACTTGCACCAGCTGGACGAGGAAGGCTCCGGAGCCCCGGCAGCTCCTGCAGCTCCTGGGCTATCACTCGGCTCCTGGGGGAGGTTTGGGAGCTTTGGGTGGGCTCCGGATCCTTCCTGACCCCCCTTCCCCTGGCAGCTTGCAGCCCTGTGGAGCGGCCGTGGGCCCATCCCAGCCTGGCACCATGAACGTCTTCGACCGCAGCATCAACTTTGATGCCCTCTTCAAGTTCTCCCACATGTGAGTGGCACACAGGCAGGGCAGGGGGCATCGGGGGGGCTGTGCCAGCCCCCCCTGCCCACCTCACCACCCCCTCCCCACCTGCAGCTCAGCCTCCACCCAGGAGCACCTGAAGAGGGTCTATGGCAGCTTTGCCATCTGTATGTTCGTGGCAGCTGCGGGCGCCTACATCAATGCAGTGACCCACCTCTTCCAGGTGAGGGACCCTTGGAGGGCTGCAGGTGGCACCCCCAGCCCTGCAGCACCCGAGTGAGGCAATGCCCAGCCCTCACCTGTCTCTCCCTCTCCCAGTTTGGGCTCCTGACTGGCCTGGGCGCACTGGGGCTGATGGTTTGGCTCACGGCCACCCCTCACAGCCGTGAGACTGAGCAGAAGAGGCTGGGGATGCTGGCTGGCTTCGCCTTCCTCACAGGTGGGTGGGCACTGGGACTACCCCCGCATCCCATGGGACCCCAAATCCTGCAGAGGGGCCGGATGAAGCCCCCCAGAATGTCTCTGGTGACACCCATTTCTATCCTTCCAGGCATCAATCTGGGACCCCTCCTGCAAATGTGCATCTCCATCAACCCCAGGTAGGGGAGACCCCCCTCTCCGACCCCATCCCCCACTTCCAGCTGCCACACAGATCCTGTTCTCCCCACAATGCCCCCCCAGCCGCCCCCAAAACCCTCTGACCCCCTTCTCTTTGCCCCCAGCATCATCCCCACTGCCTTCCTGGGCACTGCCACCATCTTCGCCTGCTTCTCGCTGAGCGCCCTGTATGCCCGGCGCCGCAGCTACCTCTACCTAGGAGGTGAGAGGGGCTTTGGGGAGGGCTCCTGGGGGGCTGGGGACCCCCTGTTGGGGGGCTGGGGACCCCCTGTTGGGGGGCTCCCCCCAGACCTGGCCCTGACTCCCTCTCCCTGCAGGTTTCCTGCTCTCCGGCCTCACCCTGATGCTTCTCTCCTCTCTGATTAACGCCTTCGTGAGATCCACCTGGCTCTTCACGGTGAGTCCCCTTGCAGAGGCCACCCCACCTGCTGAGGGCGGGTGGACAGACAGACAGGTGGCACCAGCAGGGAGGGGACTGTCCCCACCTGATGCCACTCTACCCCCCGGCAGGCCAACCTGTACGTGGCTCTGATGATCATGTGCGGCTTCGTGCTCTTCGACACGCAGCTCATCATTGAGAAGGCGGAGAGCGGGGACAAGGATTACATCTGGTGGGTGCTGGGGACACGGATGGGGGGTGACAGTGACACGGGGGGCAGGGTGGCCCCCACTGAGCATCCCCCCATCCCTCCCTCTGCCAGGCACTGTGTTGATCTCTTCCTCGACTTCATCAACATCTTCCGGGAGCTCCTGATGATCCTGGGCATGGCCGAGGTGGGTGAGGGGCCGTGGGCAGGGCAGGGGGACAGAGGGACAGAGCCCATGGTGACCGTGGCCACTCTCCTCTTGCAGAACAAGAAGAAGGAGAAGAAGTGAAGCAGCTCTGGGCCGAGGCGGAGCCACCCCTGTGTCCCCATGTCCCCTCCTGTCCCTCTCTGTCATTAAAGGGGCTGCGCTTTGCTGCCGAGGAAGCAGCCAGAAGCTTTCGCACCTCGTGGGTTTTTCTCTCGTTCAGCTTTTTTTTTTTTTTTTTTTTCGAATTAAAAACCAGCCAATTTGTGGATCCTGATGGAGTTTGGCTCCCCTGGTTTCACCCCCAGCCTGTGGCCCTCGGAGTGGTCACCCATATGTGTCCTCTTTCCTCAGAGGTTTGTCCAGCCCCACCTGGGGTGTTACCCTTCCCCGGGAGGCCCCAGAATCAGCCCCTGGGGGGTTGTTGGTGGGACCCCCCCTCAGCCAAACTCATTGGTGGAGCCTCCCCTTGAGCACCAGTGCCAAGAAATGAACGTGTGCTGGGAGGGGCCGTGGGGACATGGCATTCCCAGCGCTCCCAGTCCCGCCAGCTCCGCTCTTTGTACACCGGGATGATTCAATAAATCGCTCAGACTCCAAACTCTCGTCCCTCTTTTTCCATCCCCCATGTCCGTCCGTCCATCTCACCATCCATTTTCCATCCCCCATGTCCGTCCGTCCATCTCACCATCCTCACATCCCCCCCACCCCTGTCCCTCCCTGGGACACACGGGGACACAGCGGCTGCAGCACCACATGTATAAATAACCCGGGCTGGGGGGGCGGCTTTATTGAGTTAAAAACCCATCGGCGGGGGGCTGTACAGGGCCATAGCACCATCGGAGAGAGCCGGGAGAGGGAGCGGCACGCAGCGGACACTCCCAGCCCGGGCAGCACCCTCAGAGCAGGAGCGGGAGCAGCGGGGACGGGGTGGAAGACGTGGGAGCGGGGCCGGGGCGGCTCAGCCCTGGCTGCCGCAGGAGGAGAGGCTGTCGTAGAGCGAATCGCTGAGGGACTCGGAGTGTTCCAGCCCGGCGGGGCCGTGCCCCCCGTCCCGGGACCGCGCCTCCGTGCTGCCCTCGTCCCCCACGTCCGAGGCGCTGGGGGTCCGGCTGCTGCTGGTGCTCAGGGCGGGGGGCAGCGGTGGGGGAGCCTCGGGGGATGCCCCCCGATGCCCCGCTGGGCTGCACACGGGGGCCTGGGGAGGGACAGCGTGGGCAGGGAGGCTGCCTGTGCCAGACAGCCACATCTATCCTCCCCCCACCATGCTGGGGAACCTCTGCGCCCCTCCAGGGTTGTTTAAATCCATCCCCAGCGCGGGGCGAATGAGGAGGTGACAAATGATCACAGAACTCTGCCGAGTGTTCCCCCCACATCATCTCCCCACGGCTTCATCCCCACAGCATGGGCAGGAGGGTCTGGGGTCTCCCTGCTGGGGTTTTGCTCCAGAGTTTCCGCGTCCTTACTCTGGAGTTTTGGGGATCCCAGCCCAAGGTTTTGGGGTACTCCAGGATTTCGGGAGTCCCATTACCTGCCCAGGCCGATGCAGCCCCTCTAGCCCCTCGGGGGGGCACACAAAGGGGTCAGCAGCACCGCAGGCTTTGGCGTTGGGGAAGGTCCAGTTCTTGCTTTGCTGGACACGCCGCGGCTTCCTGGCGTCATCCCCGGTGTCTGCGGGAAGAACAGGGGCAGCGCTGACCTGCGAGACCCCCACACCCCCCATCTCCCCATTGCGAGCCCCCGTGCACCCTAAGGAGGGCACGGACGGGGGACACCCACCCTGGGGCGCGGCGCGGTGGCCGTGCGAGCTGGGGGGGGCCGGGAGGCGGCAGCCCGGAGCGCTCCGGTGTTTTCCCGGTACCAGCAGCTCCTCGGCGCTGGGCACCTCCCGCTCCAGCGTCCGGGCCTTGCGCGGCACTTTGGTGACGGCGGCCGGCACGGCCCCGGGCAGCGGCTCGGGGCGGCCCCGCGGTTTGGGGGTGTTCTTGGCGGGGACCCCCCCGTAGTCGGGGGGAGGGAAGGTCCCGATCCCGCTGTCCAGCGTCCGCGTCAGAGACCCGCAGGCTGCGGCATAACGAGAGGGGTCAGTGCCGGGGAGCCCATCCGGTGCCCCCTCTCCGCCCTGACCTCCCCATCACCCCCTCACCGGCGAAATGCTGCGCCGTCCCCGACTCGGACAAGCTCTCGTCGGACGGCAGCTCATCCCGGAGCCCCACGTCAGGCACCTGCGGGGTGCAGAGGCTGAGCGGCCGCGGGGTCCCCCCGGAGCGGAGCCCGGCGGCCGCGGCGGGGTGCTCACCTTGTCCGAGGGCTCCCGCAGGTGTCCCACGATGCCGTTGCGGGGCGGGCGGCAGAGCCGCGGTTCTTTGGCGTCGGGGGGGACCCTCCGGAGGTCACAGAGCTCCCGCTTGTGCTCCAGGCGGGTCTCGTAGGGGACGTCCTTCCCGTCCACCCTGGGGGGAGGCAGCCATCAGGGGGACGCCCCACCCTCACCCCCACCCTCACCCCCACCCTCACCCCCACCCCGAGGGGACCCAGGTGGGAGCTGACCTGTCCAGCAGCTGCTGCATGAAGGTCTCGGCCGTCACCTCCTGGTACATGACAGGGAGAGGGCCGGGGCTTCGCGGGGGCCCACGGGGCCGCCCTTTCTCCAGCGCCAGTCCCTGCAGGAACGCGTGTTCCTCCCGCAGCGCCTTCCGCAGATCCTCCGCCTTCTCCATCAGCTTCGAGATGTTGAGAGACTCCGCTTCCAGCTTGCGGGCGGCCAGCTTGACCTCTCGGCGAAGGGGCGCGGGGGTCCCGGCCCACTCGCGTCCGCGGCCGCCGTCCCCACGCCGGCTCAGCGCCGGCAGCTTGCTGCGCCGCAGCCCGAACCAGCTCGCCAGCCCCGCCGCCTTGCCCTTGGCCTCGGCGCCCGGAGCCCGCTCCTGCCCCTGCAGCCGCAGCACGTTCTCCTCGATGCCCTTCATCACCTTCTCCTCGATGGCCGAGTGCCCCGCGGCGCAGGGCGCCGGCCCCGCGGGCTCTGCGGGGCTTTTGTGGGGACCCCCGCCCGCCTTGGCGCCCGCCGGCTCCTCGCCCCGCGGTGCCCCGGCTTTGCCCGCCTTGGTGGGCAGCTTGGTGGGACTGCCGTGAGGGCTGCGGGAAGCCTTGGCAGGGGGCGCGGGGGGGGTCCGAGAGGGGGTCCGGCCGCTGCTGGGGCGGCCCTTGCCCCCCGCCTTGCCGGGGTCCCCCATGGAGCCGGAGGAGTAGCAGCGGGCCAGGGGCTCCGCACCGTGCGCGGGCTCGGGGTGCTTCAGGCTGCCCCCCAAACCCGCCCGGGGCGGGGGGCGCAGCTCGGCCCCATGGCCCCGATCGGGCCGCCCTGGGCCGGGCGGCTCCCGGCCCTCAGCCCCCCGCAGCTTGCCCAGGGCGGCCAGGCGCTCCTTGAAGGGCAGGTAGCCCGGCTCGGGGGGCTTCTTGCCGGGGCGGCGGCAGGGGGCCGAGCCCCCCGTGCCGCGGCGGGAGCTGGGGGGGGAAGCGGCCGCCCGCTCCCCGCCGGCCGCGGGCCCCGGTGGCCCGGGGGGCTGCTCGACCGCCTCGAAGGTGCGGGGGTGGGGGAAGGCGGGGGGCTCGGTGGAGCCGGACTCTGGAGCGGCGTCGGGGGACGGGCGGCGGCTGAGCACCGGTGAGGCCTCGGGGTGGGCGCCGCGACAAGGGATCTTGGAGGGGTGGGCGAGCTGGGGGCTGAGGCGCAGCCCCCCGGGGGGAGGCGGCACTTTGAGCACCTTTGTTGGGGAGGTCAGGGGGTTGGGGACCCCGCCGGGTGACAGCGGGGTGAAGCCCCCCTCGGGGCTCTCCTCGCCCGGCGTGTAGAGTCCCAGGAAAGCAGGGTGCTCCCCGCGCCGCTGCCGGGGGGGTCCCCCGGGGGCTTCCCCATTGCGCCGGCAGCAGCCCCCGCCCTCACCTCGCAGCAGCCGCTCGGCCAAGGCGCTGAGCAGAGCCCCCCGCGGCGGACCCCCTTCCTCGGGAGAGGAGCAGGGGCTGCCCTCGGTGCCCCGCCAGCCCCCCGCAGCCCCCGGGCCCCGCAGCGGGCAAGGCGGCCAAGCCAGGGCTGCGCAGGGCTCGGGGGAGCCGGGGGAGGCCGGGGGGGGTCCCAGCAGCGGGTCGGTCTCCTCCAGCTTGCGCAGCACCTCCAGGATTTGGGCTTTCTTTTTGAAGAACGGGGACAGGGCATCCAGGGGCGGGGCACCGGGGCTGAGCCCAGGGCTGCCCGATGGCACCGGTGGCAGCACCTGTGGGGACAGGGTACCATCACCTCACCAGGTGAGCACCTGGCACTGAGCCCCCCAGTACAGAGAGAGAGGACACAATAAACTGTGGGATGGGGATGTAATGGGGACAGGGACATCAGGGGCAGTGGGTTTTGGAGCCAGAGACATCACAGATGGAGGGGCTTGGGGAGGTGGACACCACGGACTTGGAGAGGTGACACCACAGGGACCCTGCTGAAAGTGCCATAGGCACTTGGATGGGGACACCACAGATCCAGGGAGGGGGACAGGAGAGGACACCGTGGGCCTGGTGACACCACACACTGGGAATAGACAATGGGGAAGGGAGTGACACTGCCCAGAGAGGGGGACACTAGGACAGAAATGGGTTGGGAACACTGGTACCCACCTCGGGCAGGGACAGACAGAGGCCAGGGAGCAGTGGGGGTGGCTCTTGCTCAGCAGAGCCTGGCTGGGGGGTGACCGGGACATCTGGGGGTGCTGGCACCGGGTGCAACGGCAGCTGGAGAGGAGAGAGATGCTGGGTTAAGCTCTGGGGGGGCTCTGCCCCATGCCCGCCCCCCAACCCTGATGCAGCCCAGGCACACCTGGGGGAGGGAGCCAGTGGAGAGCTGCAGCTTCTGCTGGAACAGGTCGCTCAGCACCTGGTTCTGGCGCTCCAGCTCAAAGACGCGTTTCTTCAGCTTGATGCACTCCTCACGCAGGTCCTGGCCAGGGTGTGGGGCTATCAGCCAGGACCCCCGGAGCCCCTCAGCATCCTCCCAGCCCCCTGACACCTTCCTGACACCCACCTTCTGGTTGAGCAGTGCCTGCACCACGTGGTTGGCAACCTGCGGAGGAGAGGGGAGGTCTGCGGTGGGGCACAGGGCACACGCAGCCTCCTGCCCCAGCACACACGTGGGCACACGCATGGGCACACGTGTCCTGTGTGCCTGGGGGACACAGGGCACTGGGGACACCCTGTGTGTCTGTGGGTGCTCTCCAGTACCTCGTCCAGGCAGCGTTCATAGGTCTCCCGCTGGTTCTCATTGGCCTGGGCCAGGGCTGAGTTCTCTGCCTAGAACAGAGCAAGGACAGCTCAGGGCACAGCTCAGGGGACACAGGGGACATCCCGATGGCACCAAGCAGACCCTCTGTCTCCTGGTCAGGGGGACTCAGGGCCACACATGGCAGGATGGGGCTACCCCAGGAGCAGTGGCACACGAGGGGCCACGGAAAACTGGGAAGTGCAACCCACCACCATGGTGTCGTCTGTGGCTCCGTGGCACTGGCCACAGCTGGCTCTTGGCACTGGCCGCACGGTGGCCATGGCCACAGCTTCAGTGGCCACGGCTGCCCAGTGGTCCCGTGTCCTGGTGGTCCCATTCCCGCATACCTCCAGCTCCCGCAGGCGCTGCAGCAGCTCGTGGCTGGTGCCTGTCTCGCCCAGCGCCGCCGGGCTCCCGGCTCCCGGCGCCTCGGCCACGCTCTCCGACATCGCTGCTGCAGGGGACGGGCATCACCACGGGGTCCCTGCTGGCCCCTGGCCCGTGGCACCCGGCCTGAGGCGCCCCCAGGCCCTGCACAGCCCGGGGTCTCTTACCTGGCTTTGGATGTCCCCAGCCCCAAACCTGAGCGGTGTCACCTGCCAGGGAGAACGGGGATGAGGAGGGGGATGGAGCCGCCAGCCTCCAGCCCTGACCCCTCCAGCACCAGGAGCCGCAGGGACTCCTCCTGCTGCCCCCTCCTTCCTGGTGGTACAGGGGAAGCTTCTCGGCCCCGGCATGCACAGCACGCCCGGGACCGGGACCAGGACCAGCCCTGGGACACCGGGATGTGCAGCACCACCGGGACCGAGACCGGCATCAGCCCCGGGGAACCTGTGTGCCCCAAGGACCGGGACCGCCACCGGCACAGGGTCACGAGGATGTGCAGGACCACCGGGACCGGAATCGGCACGAGCCCCGGGGCACCGGGATGCGCAGCACCTCCGGGCTACCGGGATACGCAGCACCCCCGGGGCTGACCCCGGGGCACCGGGATCCGCAGCCCCGGTGCAGAGGACCCCCGGTGTTCAGACGGCCCCCCCGCCAGTGCCGCACACCCCCCGCTCCACCCCGGGCTTCCCCCGCCGCCGGTGCCACCGCGTCCCTGCGCTGAGCGCCGGTCCCGGCCCGTACTCACGCCCGGGGCTCCCGGCGGCGCCGCCGCTCTCGACTCAGAGCGGCCCTGGGGCCGGTCCCGGCGACGGCGGCGTTTCCATCCCGGCCCGGCCCGGCCGCGCTATTGTTGGGAGGCGGCGGCGGCGGCTCCGCCTTCCCGCCGCGGCCGGGGAGGAGCCGGGACGGAGCCGCCGCCTCCCCCGGTGCGCGGCTCCGCCAGCGCCAGCCCCGGGGAACCGGCGCTGGGGCCCCCGGGAGCGGCGGCACCGGCACACCGGGAATCATCCCGGGAGAGGAAGCACCGGGAATCCCTCCGCGGCACCGGGCGCCGCCGGAGGGCCAGGGCAGAGGACGGAGGGATCCCCACGGGCATCCCGCACCCTCTGGAGGGACTGCCCGGAGCCCCCGGGACCCCTCGGGGAGCCCCCCGGGGCTGCAGGCGCGGAACCGAGCCGCGACCCCCGGCCGTGGCCTCCACCCCCCGCCCCTCGAGGGTGAGGTTTGGGTTTTTGGGGTTCACACGGGGCCACGCGTCCCCGGTTCACCCGGACCCCACGGCACCGCGGCGGGGAGCGGGGGGCTCGGCAGGATAGGGAGAGCAGAGGGGACAAGAAGAGGTTTTGGGGGTGATGGAGGAACAAGGGGAAGGTGTGGGGGTGCACGGCCAGACCTCGCGCGTGCTGTCCCCGTCCCCTGCAGCCCGTGGGGCGAACCCACGCGGGTCCCTGCGGTGGTCCCCATTGTCCCGGAGGTGCCCGTGGGCCCCTCGCCTGCCCCCCGCGCAGGAAGCGGCCCCGGGGCCGGCGGCTCCGGCTGCGTCACGGGGGGAAGTGAGGCTCTGTCTGGAGGGGAAGAGGAGCCCGCGGCCCCCCCAAGCCCCCGGCGGGGACAGCCGGGGGGGCCTCGACAGATGGACAGCGCGGCCATCCCCTCCCCCAGCGTGGGGCCCCGCGGGGGCAGCGCGGGGGTCCCTGTGGGGAGGGGGACACGGCTGCGGCACAGGCACGGCCACCCGGAGCCCGTGTCCCCTCCCCAGGTCCCCCGGTCACTCTGTCCCCGCTGCCCCGGGCACTGCGGGGACACGGCGTGCGGACACGGTAGGGGGACACGGCGTGGGGACACGGCGTGGGGACACGGCACGTGCCCAAACCGCAGCCCAGGACGTGCCAGCGTGGCTGTGACCCGCTGGCCCTGGCCTGCCCCATACCAGGGTCCCCATGCCGAGCCCAGGGACAGGGGTGACAGCCCCAAGGGTCCCCAGCCCTGCTGAGCTGTTCTGGGGACAGCCAGGATGCACTGGGGACAGTCCAGGGACATGGAGTGACAGCCCCGAGTGTTCCCAACCCTGCTGAGCTGTTCTGGGGACAGCCAGGACGCACTGGGGACAGTCCAGGGACAGGGGTGACAGCCCCGAGTGTCCCCAACCTTGCTGAGCTCTTCTGGGGACAGCTGGGACACACTGGGGACAACCCAGGGACAGCCAGGATGCAGCGGGGACAGCAAGGACACCCTGGGGACAGCCGCGATGTGCTGGAGAAATGGCCTCGGGGTGCAGGGACACATCGAGGACAGCTGGGACTGGCCAGGGACACGCAGGGACAGCCAGGGATGCGGTGGGGACAACAGAGACACACGCAGGGGACAGCTGGGGTGTACTGGGGACACTGGGGACCGGCGGGTGGGATGAAAGACCGTGAGGGACACCCCAGGGACACCCGGGATGCAGTGGGGACACTGAGGACACCGCAGGGACAGTCAGGATGCAGTGGGAATATACCAGGGACAGTCAGGAATGCCCCAGGGAGAGTCAGGATGCACTGGGGACACTGGGGACACCCCAGGGACAGCCGGGGTGCATTGGGGACATTGAGGACACCCCAGAGACAGTCCGGGTGCACTGGGGACACTGGGGACACCCCAGGGACAGCCGGGGTGCAATGGAGACACTGGGGACACCCCAGGGACAATCAAGGTGCAATGGGGACACCCCAGGGACAGTCTGGGTGCAATGAGGACACCACAGGGACAGTCCGGGTGCAATGGGGACACTGGGGACACCCCAGGGAGAGTCAGGATTCACTGGTGACCCTGGGGACAACCGGGATGCTCTGGGGACACCCCAGGGACAGCCAGGACACAGTGGGGACACCTCAGAGACAGCCGGGATGCTCTGGGGACAGGCGGGGACAGCGGGGAGAGCCGAGGACACGACGGGGATGCACCGGGGACATGCGAACACCACGGACCGGGCCACCCCCGCCGCTCCCCCGGGCTCAACCCCCGCCCTCTCACGGTACGAGCCGGTGCCCGGAGGACACGGATGCCCACCCCCGCCTCCGGTGCCCCCGAGGAGCGGCCCGACCCTCCCGGTTCCCCCGCCTGCACCTCGCCGCGGAGCGACCGGACTCACCGGGGGCTACGGCGGGGCCAGGGCCGGGGCGGCATGGCCGGGGCTGGGACCGGGACCGGGGCGGGACCGGCGGCGGCGGCGGTGACGTCATGGCTCCACCGGGCCGGCCCCGCCCTGCGCCCCCGCCGCCGCCAATCCGCGCCCCGGGCACCCCTCCCGAATCCCCCCTTCCCGTGATCCCCGGAACCGCTCGCCACGGAGCCGGTACCCCCGCCCCTCCTTCCTCCCGGCGGGAAGAATCGGTACCGAGCACCGGCGGCGGCTGCCCCGGGATGGGACCGGCCCGCCCCGCACCCCACGGAGCCCCCCCGAGACGGAAACGAAGGGAGACCCCAAAGGGCATCCCCGGTAGCAGCAGGGTGCCCCCGCCCCGGGAGGACCACCAGCCCCCCGGGCACCCCCAATCCCGGGGCTCATTCACACAGGGACACCGAGCACCCACCTCCATCACTTTATTGTGGGGGACCCCGCGGCACGGAACCTCTGTCCCCCCAAAAACACCGCAGGGCCACATCGCCCCCCAGGACCCACCAGAAGCCCCCAGAACTTCCGTGATTTCCCTCCCCGGTCTCCCGTGGCTGCTCCATCCCCACGGAGGACGGGAGGGCTGCTGGGGTTCCGGGGGTCCCCGTGGCTCCAGCGATCGGCAGAGGAGCCGGAGCTGCAGCTCATCCTGGCGCTGGAGGAGGACCCCAGCCCGCCCCGGTCCCACGGCGAGGGTCCCCGGGGTGTGGGGACCCCGGTGCTGCCGGGCTCAGCCCACGGCGCCCGGCTCCAGGCTCCCGTTGGCGGCGGCTGCCCGCGCCGGGCCGGGCGCGGCCGCGTCCTGCGGCGGCTGCGGCTCCTCCCGCGGCCCCGGCGGCAACGGGAGGCGGCTCTGCGGGGATACGACAGGGACATGGGGTGTGCTGGGACACAGCCCGGGACAGTGCGACAGCCCGGGACAGTGTGACAGCCTGGGACACAGCCCGGGACAGTGTGACAGCCTGGGACAGTGTCACAGCCCAGGACAGTGTCACAGCCTGGGGCAGTGTCACAGCCCGGGACAGTGTGACAGCCCAGGACAGTGTGACAGCCTGGGACAGTGTAACAGCCTGGGACAGTGTCACACCTAGGACAGTGTCACACCTGGGACAGTGTCACAGCCTAGGACAGTGTGACAGCCCAGGACAGTGTGACAGCCCAGGACAGTGTCACAGCCCAGACAATATCACAGCCCGGGACAGTGTCACAGCCCAGGACAATGTGACAGCCCAGGGCAGTGTCACAGTCTAGGACAGTGTGACAGCCCGGGACAGTGTCACAGCCTGGGACACAGCCCAGGACAGTGCGACAGCCCGGGACAGTGTCACAGTCTAGGACAGTGTCACAGCCCAGGACAGTGTCACTCCCACACGAATTGGTCATTCCACAGGATGGGAGCACCAACAGACCGGGAGATTTTTCCTCTGGGCTCCTGCTTGAAACCAACAGCTACAGCAAACTGGGGGTCTTCAGTCAGAGCCTGGGCTGTGCCCCCCCACCCCCACCCCAAAACTTGGCCTTCACCCCAGGAGCCATGACAGGAGAGTGGGTGACATCACCAGTCCCTGTGGGGACACCCCAAAAAAGCCCCAGGTTCCAGACAGGATGACAGCAACAAATTTCAGCCGTCCCAGTGAAAATTAAGACTCCAAGGAAGAAAGGAGAACCCCTGGGCTGGGAAACAACTCCCAGCTGAGATGAAGAGGTTCCAACGGCAGGCCAACCCCCTTGGCCAGACATGCCCAGCATCCCAGACATTCCCAGGACATCCATCCCCAGGACAAGGGTGGCACAGAGCCACCTCGGGGGCCAGCCTCTGGCTGCCACCCCCACCCTGGCACTCCTAATGCCACCCAGACCACAGGCACACCCAGCATCTGGAGCTGTTGGGTGGGAGAGGAGCCCCCAGGCCTGGTGGGTGGAAGAGGGGGGAGGTTCCTGCTGGGAAAAGCTCATCCCGGGGTGGGAGGGGGTCAGTCCCACCCGGCCGTACCTGCGCGGGCCCCTCGGCCGGAGGGGTGGAGGAGCTGCCCCTGTCCGGCTCCTCCAGCGCCAGGATGTCGATGGGAGCCTCGGCCATGTCCCGCAGGGACGGATCGAGGGTTACGGAAGGGTCAAAGAGCAGAGGGGATGGGGGGCACTGCATCCCATCACCCACCACGTCCAGGTCCTGGCAGGGGAAAACAGCCAAGCAGCTCGTCAGCAGGGGGCTGAGGAGACTCCAATGCTCTGAAGCAGCAGGAAAGGGAGGAGGAAGGCTGGGAGGAGGAGGAAGAGGAGTGGGCACCATGCCAGGGGCGCCCCCAGCCAGCAACACGCCCCAGGAACCCCCTCCTCCTCTTGGAATGCCATGATCACAGCTGGCATTGCTGAGGACAAGGTGTGGGACACACATCCTGCAGCCCAGCGTGATGTGCTGCTCCCAAATTGTCCCTCCAGCGCCTGGAATGGCTTTGACAGGTTCCAAACACACTTTTCTGGGGACCCCCAGAGCAATCCCAGCTCTCCACGATGTCACACACACTCCTGGGGACCCCCAGAGCAATCTCTGCTCTCCAGGATGTCACACACAATCCAGGGGACCCCCAGACCAATCCCTGCTCTCCAGGATGTCACACACATTCCAGAGGACACCTGGAACATCCCCACCCTCTCCTAGGATGTCACACCTCCTCTGTTTGCCCTGACAGCACAGATGGGGATGGACAAGCTCCGAGCACTCCTCCATCTGCCCTCCCTGACAAGGGGAGAGGCTGGGATTGGGGAGAGGCTGGGATTGGGGAGAGGCTGGGATTTGTTTTGGCTCTGAAGGGGGTTTGACACGAGGGTGAGATTCCCGTGACTCACGAGTGGCACTTCCCCAGCCTGGCACGATGTGAGACACAACACAGATGCCCCCGGCAGCTTCCATGAATCTGCAGAGCTCCAGAGGGAGCTCGGAACCCTCTCAAAGGACAGGATCAGGAAAAACACTCCTGTTTTTCCTTTCTAACCCAAAAAATCCCTCCTGTTTGCACAGAAAGGGGCTGGGATCTGATCTGAGCCCCTCTCCATCCTGATCCCGCTTGCTCTCCTGGCTCCTGCTGCTGGAATCCCTCCTCCATCACCAAACTCCAAAGCACAGCCAAGCTTTGCCTCCAACAGCAGAGCTCAGCAGCCTCAGGAGCACCCAGACACTGAGGGCACACCTCGCTCACAGGAGCAGCTCCCGTGGATCCTCTGCTGCTTTGCTTTTGCCTCAACGCATTCCCCTGAGCCTTTCAACTGTGCTGGTTGAAATGCACGATGCCACAATAATCTGGGGATTAAAATCTTCATGCTTTCCTCATGCCAGGCAAAATGGGGGTGTGGAGGGGAAATCCTCTTTTTAAGAGGCCCCTAAAGGTGTTTAAATGAGCACAACCATCCCAAAGAAGCAGCCACTAACCCTGGAGTAGCTCCCAAACCTTCCACATTGCTGCATCTTCACAGAATCCCAGGATGCTTGGGATTGGGAAGGAATGTAAAGATCATCCAGTTCCACCCCTGCCATGGGCAGGGGCACCTTCGACTATCCCAAATGGCTCCAAGCCCTGTCCAACCTGGCCTTGGACACTTTTAAAGGATCCAGGGGCAGCCCCAGCTTCTCTGGGCACCCTTACCCTCACAGGAATTCATTCCCAATATCCCACCTAACCCTGTCTCTGGCACTGGAAGCCATTCCCCCTTGTCCTGGTTCTCCATCCCTTGTCCCACGTCCCTCTCCAGCTCTCTCCTGGATCCTTCTCCTCTCCAGGCTGGACGTGCCCAGTTGTTCCAGCCCTGGATGCAGCATTCCAGGTGGGCTCTCAGGTGGGCAGAGCTGCAGCTTTCCCACTTACATCGCTGAATTCCAGGGGCAAACTCTCCGTGGGCTGGAGCTCGGCCGCGCTCAGGTACAGCTCCGTGGGAGCAGCCCCCAGCTCCTGGGGCACAGCCAGGACCTGCTCTGGGACGTACATCTGGGGGGGCAGCCGGAGGTGCAGGGGGCAGCACGGCTCCTCAGACAGGCTCACGGGCACGGGCTTGTTGCAGGGAACTTCCTCCGAGCCCTGGCACGGCTTGAACAGCGTCTGGTTTGTATCCTGGCAGATATCTGGGAAGAGGAGGTCAAGGAAAGCAGCAGAGGTACTGCCAGACACACATCCAGAGGGAGAAATGCTGAGAAAGGCTCCTAATTCCCCCACAAACTGTATTAAACCCACCCCCATTTCTCCCAGATCAGGAATGCAGAGGTGAGAGCTGCACCCCAACTGCCCAGGGATGTGGGTGACACAATTTCCATGATGGAAAACTGGGACAACAGCCAGAGCCCCCGCCGTGGGGGCTGGGAGATGCGGCTGGATCCCTGGAAACCACTCACAGATACGCAGCTGGATGTCACAAAGGCACAGGATTAACTTTTGTTTGCAGACATCCATGGAAAATGATCAGCTCCAACCCCACGGGCGGGGAGATCCCAGCACACACACAATGCCTTCTCCACAGCCAGTTTGGTTATGGTATTTCTATCTTCCCACTGCATTTTCCTTCCCAGTGGAAAACCTGTTCCTGCCAGAGGTGTAAATGGGATTTCCTGCCTTTAATCCCAAACAGAAACTCTGCTTCAATTGCATCACACTTGCAGAGCGATCCAAAGGAGCTACAGATCAAAACCCAGCCTGCTCTGATCCCATCACATTCCAACCCTTTCCTCCTCTTCCCACATCCATCCTCTTCTTCCAAGCCCTATTCTGATCCCATCCTCCTCTTCCAACTCCATCCTCTTCTGACTCTTCCTCCTCTTTCCATCTCTTTCTCTTCTTCCCACCCCTTCCTCTTTTTCAACCCCCATTCACTTCTTCAAGCCTTTTCTTCCAACCCTTTCCTTCTCTTCCATCCCTCTTTCTTCCTCTTCTGATCCCCATCTTTTTCTTCCAACCCCTCCCTCCTCTTCCTCCCACCTTTCTCCTCTTCCATCCCCTTCCAACCAGGATCACCTCAACTGCAATTTCCTCACACACACACCAGTGTGAGAGGGGGGGAAAAAATCCCAAACCCACATAAAACTGGGAAAAGACACCAAGTTTAAGTCGGTTTCTTAAGCTGGCTAGGTTTGAGATTCACCCTTCCCTCCTCTCCTCCTTACTCCAAGGATTTCTCAGGAATCCACTTCCTGGCAGGCCATGGGGAGCCACAGCCTGGGCTGGCAGCAATGTCAGAGCCCAGCCCAAGAGAGAAGGACCTGGGACACCCAAGGGAAGATGTGGTGAGGGAACAGGGGGCGGGGAAAGCAGATTTTCATCTCCTGGAGCAACTCCCAGCTCCAGCACTGACTTTCCTGGTAGCCAAAAGCACAGATTGCCAAGAGGACAAAAATCCCAGGCTCCATCTGGAGCCTCCCAGCCTTCCCCCATCCCTCCAGTGCCCTGTCACAAACAATCCAGCTCCTGGAAGCAAACAGAGCCCGAGAGCCTCCCGAAAAGCCACAGATGTTATCAGATGTTATCAGCTGCCCGAGGAAAAGCTTGTTTGTGTCACTGAGAGTCAGCTGAGAGCTCCCGCCAGACCCAGCTCTTCCCTCCCTCCCGGGAACTCCAGCTGCCAACAGCAGCTTCTCTGGCTGTTTTATGGGATTTCTCCTCTCTTTATTTTGAGGTCTGTGGTGGTTAGATAGAAACAAATAGAGCTTCCAGCTCCTGCTCCCTGCGCAGGGCTGGGGGAGTCTGACAACTCCAGGGACAAAGCAAACCCAAGGGCTCTCAAAAATCCAGAACATCCCAAGAAATATGAAAACTTCTCCAGACCCACGAGCTCCCAAAAAAACTCACAAGCTCCTGCAGACCCAGGAGCTCCCACAAATACAGAAATTCCCACAAACTCGGGAGTTCCCACAGACCCAGGAACTCTGATAAACACAAGAGCTCACACAAACCCAGCACCTCCCACAAATCCAAAATCTTCCACAGATCCAGAAGCTCCTCCTCACCCAGCCCCGGGACTCAGTGCCACTGCTGATTCACCCCACTGCTCCCCCCTGCAGCTCCAGCCTGATCCAAACCTGGACACATCCACCCACTCCCACAAGAGTGGATGGAGCAGATGCACCCAGGGCAATGCTGGGTCATGGACTGGGGGTCATCCTCGACCTGGGGGATTCTTGGTCCCATATTGGGGGTCATCCTCAACCTGGGGGACCCTTGGTCCCATATTGGGGGTCATCCTCGACCTGGGGGATCCTTGGTCCCATATTGGGGGTCATCCTCGACCTGGGGGACCCTTGGTCCCATATTGAGGGTCATCCCTGAGCAGGGGGATCCCAGTGGAACTTTCAGTGCTGGCTCTCCACTACCTGAGGCCGATTCAGGAAGTGGAACAGCTCAAGGCTGTTCACACACACACATGAGAACCTTTTTGAAGGATCAGAGACTGAACTGGGCCACAGCAGCTCCAGACAGGTTGGAATTACCCCTCCAGATCCTCCCAAAAATCAAGGTTGTGCTCTGGTGTGTGTGTGTGCTCAGGTTGGGGGCAGGCTCTGTTCCCAAGGAACAAGGGACAGGACAGGAGGGAAGAGCCTCAAGCTTTGTCAGGAAAGGTTCAGGAATTTCTTCCATGGAAAGGGTGGTCAGAAACTGGAAAGCTGCTCAAGGAAGCGATGGAATCCCCATTCCTGGAGGGAATCCATGCACATCCCTCACAGCTCAGGCCTGCCTGGGTTCTCTCTGCTTCCAAGTGAAATGCCCACCCTGTTTGGGTGCTCTGCACCCAGGAGGCCACGGCAGGAGCACCCCTGGGAGCAGCCCAGCCCTTTGTTGCTCCCGTACGAATTGGCTGTTCCATGGGACGGGAGCACCAACAGACAGGGAGACTTTTCCTCTGGGCTCCTGCTTGAAACCAACGGCTACAGCAAACCGAGGGCCTTGATTCAGGGCCAGGGAGGGAGAAAGGGGCAAACAGGCCCAGGGCAAACTGCTGGCCAGCACTCAGGAAGAGCGTGGGATGAAAGGATACGCGTGAGGCAGTGCCGGGTCATCGGCAGGGACGGGTTGGAGCATCGGACATCGTCAACAAAGGCCAAGCAGCGCTGGCTGGAGCGGGTGGTGTGAGCCTGAAATCATGGAATGGTTTGGGTTGGGAGACACCCTTAAAGCTCCTTAAAGCTCCTCTTCCACCTTCCACTATCCCACGCTGATCTAAGCCACATCCGACCTGGCCTTGGGCACTTTCAGGGATGGGGCAGCTTCTCTGGGCACTCCGTGCCAGGGCCTCCCCACCCTCCCAGGGAGGAATTTGTTCCCAATATCCACCCACACCTCTCATCTCTTAAGTTTAAAACCATTTCCTCTTGTCCTGTCACTGCCTGTCTATTTACAACTCCCTCTCCCTCTTTTTATTAAGCCTCTTTTAGGCAATGGAATGGACTCACTCAAACCCAGGAACTCCCACAGACCCAAGAGCTCCCAAAAACCTGAGAGCCTTGAAAAACCCATGATCTTCCACAACCCATGAGTTCCTAAAAATCCCCAAGCCTTCAAATACCCTGAGCCCTCTTTTCTCCAGGATGAGCCCTCCCAGTTCATCTCCCCAGGAATTTTCCAGACCCTTCTTGTGCTCCAGTCCCTTTCCCAGCTTCATTCCCTTCCGCGGGCTTGACCCTCAATGTCTTTGTTGCTACGAAGAGCCCAAAACTGACCCCAAACATTCAAGGTGTGGACACCAAGAGCTCGCACAGACCCCAGAGCTCTTGGAGACACAGGAGCTACCACAGATCCAGAAGCTCCCAAAAACCTCAACGAGCTTTTCCAAACCCAGGAGGGCAGCAGCCTTGCAGGAAGGGCGTTACATGGGGCAATCTGCCAGGGCCTGGGGTCACTCCCAGAAAAGACACGAGAGGAGAGACCCATCCAGGACGTCCCCACGGACCTGCTGGGCCGCACCGTCGGTGGCCAGGACCCTGCGCTCCCGGAGCTGCCGGTGCAGCAGAGCCTCCACCCCGTAGCGCTGCCGGTAGCGCCGGAGGCACTTGAGCCGCTTCAGGTTCTCCCTCTCCTTGGCCATCAGCCCCTCTGGCCCTGTCAGGAGGCTGCTCCCTGCAGGAATAAAGAAGAATCAGGAATCTCCACCCACCTGCCTCGTCTTTTTAGGCACATTAGCCATGGAGGGCTTTGAGGGCTCCATCCACATGAGCAGCAGCAGTGCAGCTTTGGGTGACGCCTGGCAGTGCAGGTTCCATCCCAAAATTTATCCTGACCTCTCCACATACACCAGGAACGCTTGGGCCCACAGAGTATTTTTAAAATCTCCTTTAAAAATAATTCAGCCACTCCCCGTCCATTGTGATTTCAGCAGCAGAATAGAAACTTGTCAAATTTCAGGTCACTCCTGTGCAAGTTCTGGAAGCTTCCCGCCAGCATTCCTGGTTTAATTACAGGGCAACGCTCAGGATCTGCTTTTCTCTGACTCCTTTGCTAAAAAGAGTTCTGCAAAATTGGTATGTACCAAACTCCTGGTTATTTTTACTTGAGCCTGAGCTGAATTATGGCGTTTTCCAGGATGAGCTATTAAAGGATGATGCTAGAAAAAAAGAGTCCTTTGCTCTGCAATACTTGGGATCAGTTACACAACTCGGTTTTGCCTCTGTTGAACTGGGAATTCCTGCTTCCAAGAGTATATTCTGCACAGAGAGAATGGCTGCAGAGGCAGAGGGAATGCTGCACCCCTGCTAGGGAGGAATATACCAGTACAGCAGCACTGGTGTTACTGGAACCAACTCCTGTCCACACACCAAGGGCCTTACAGACGAGTATTTTTTGTTCGTAAAAGGAAAAAACAGGAAATCCCAGTACAAAATAAGCACTTTTGTCTCAGAATTAACATTATAGCTCATTTCCTGCCAACACTGCAAGCTCTGAAGAGCAAAGAAATGCACAAGCTTTGGAACTGCAGTGATAGGGATCTCTGGGCACAGGACCAGCACAGAATCATGGAATCACTCAGGCTGGAAGAGCTCTCCAGATCAGAGTCCAACCTTGCCAACCAGACCAGGGCACTGAGTGCAATGTCCAGCTGTCCCCTGAACGCCTCTGGGGACAGGAACTCCATCACCTCCATGGGCAGTTCCAATACCTGACCATCTTTTCGGTACAGAGATCCTCTTGATGCCCACCCCAAACCTCCCTGGCACAGTTTGAGGCCATTTCCTCTTGTCTCATTGTTCCACGGGAGCAAATGCTGATTCCCACCTGGCTGCACCCTCCTGTCAGCGAGTTACAGAGAGTGAGATGGTCCCACCTGAGCTCCCTTTTCTCCAGGCTCAGCCCCTCCCCAGCTCCCTCAGCTTTCCAGACCTTTCCCCTTGTGTTTCAGCCAATTCCCCATCTCCAGACATGCTCCAGCCCCTCAATAAAACAACTGCTCTGAGTGTGGAACCCCCCTTTTACTCTGCTCTGAAATCTGCCTCTAGAAAGGCCCAAACCTCCTGGTTTTTAGCAGATTTCTGTGCATGCCCTCAGGCAGGAGGTCTTGGCTCACCGATGGCCTCGTGCTCTCCCTTCCTGCTGTGCAGGAACCGGCGCTTCTTCTCCTTCAGGAGGTGCTGGAGCCGCTTGAACTGGTCGATGTAGAGGGACTGGAGGCGGATCAGCTTCTCCCTCATGATCAGAGCCACCTCCTCGGCCGTGTACACCCCAGCGTGCCTGCAAAACCCAGGGAACACGGCCTGTTTGGAGGGTCCCTGGAGACTGATCCCCCCAAAGGTGTGGGGGACCTCGGGGCTGATCCCTGAAGGGTCTGGGGATCCCTTGGGTTGTTTTCTGCTGAAGAATATAGGGGTTCCTCATGGATGAACCCTCAAAAGGTCTGGGGGTCCTTCAGAGCTGTTTTCCAAAAGGGCGTGAGGGTCTCTCAAGGCTGAACCCCCAAAGGTCTGGGGATCCCTCAGGGCTGTTCTCCAAAAGGGCGTGAGGGCCTCTCAAGGCTGAACCCCCAAAGGTTGGGGGGAAGTCTCTCAGGAATAATTCTTCCAAAGGGTTTGGGGGTGCCCCAGGGCTGATCCCCCAAAGGATTTGGGAGACACTCAAGGCTTCATTCTCTGAATCTGTGTGGTTCTCTCAAGATTATTATTATTATGTGGGGGTCCTTCTGGGCTGTTCCCCCCCACAAACAACACTGATGTTATTGGGAACACTCTGGGTTACACCATCAACAAGTGATGAGCTGAAATACTCAATTTCAGGCTTTTTTTTTTTAAGAGACAGGATCACCCAGAGAAGCTGCTGAGAGATCCACTCCACTCTGGAAGAGGATAAGCAGTAAGTGCTTCCCAGAAAACCCCAGCTCCAGGACCTGAGTGCATCCACAGCCAATGAACCATGTGGGCACAAATCCATGAAAAACCATGGATATAGTCATGTTTTTAAAACAACCACTATCCCCTGGAGCCAGAGTGAGCCCACAACGTGAAACACGTGTGTGGCAGGCAGCAGCCACCATGGAATCCCAGAAGTTCCCCAGGATTAATCCAACCTGTGACCAACCCCTGTCAGAGCCCTGAGTGCCCCATCTAGTCATTCCTTGGACACCTGCAGGGATGGGGACTCTACCACTTTCCTAGGCAGTTCTAATGCCTGACAGGTCTTTCCATGAAGGAATTCCTCCTGATGTCCAACCTGAACCTCACCAGGCACAAATTGAGGCTGTTTCTCCTTGTCCTGTCCCTTTTTATGGGAGCAGAACTTTATCCCCACCTGGCTGCAGCCTCCTGTTCAGGGAGTTGTGGAGAACCAGTCCCTCCTTGAGCCTTTTTTCCAGGCTGAGCCCGCCAAAAATGTCAATTTAACTACTGCCCCAACCTACTTGAGGGGATCCTCCTGGTCGCTGTCGATGCTGTCAGCTTCACTGTCGGGGTCCCCACGCCACGTCTGCTCCACGGTGACAGGGTCCTGCTCGCAGTCACTCCAGCTGTCCTCGTCTGCAAGACACAGCACCAGAGTCACAGGACACTGTGCCACATCCCAGGATGGCCAGGGACACCCTGGAGCTTGGCCCCATGGAGCTGGGCAGGCTCTGCTTCATGCCAGGAGGGAACTCTGCACCCCAAAACTCTGAGTGAGGGACTTGGAGGAGGGAACAACAGGAAACCTTGGAGCAGCCAGAACACACTGGGAATGATGCTTCCCAGCAAACATGGAATTCCAGTGGTATTATTTCCAGGCTAAACCTGCAGGGTCTGGGTTTGGCAGCGTGAGACACACTAGGCTTTACAAAACCCCAGTTTTTCCTCCCAGACCATGGGGTCTTTTTCCCACTGGACTGAAAAGGATATTGCTGCTTTCCCCCACAGGAACAGAGCAGCCTGGCACTGCCTTTGGGTTTATGCCTTGGAATGGCTGCCTAAAACAGAGGCTAGACAAGGTTAAGAGAATAAAGTGGGTATTTATTAAAGGCCTTCAACAGATAACAATTTGGGCAGTCAAAAGCCTCCAAGAGGCTACACCCAAGATGGATGATGGTCACGAGTTTTTCAGACAGATCTAAGTTTGGTCCATTTATATATCAGGGATTAATCCTCCAATTACTTTCAGGTAATTAAATCATATTCCCCTAATTTGTACCCCCTCAATTCATTTTTTTTTATACTTTTCAGGGCCTGAGGCTGTTTGGTATCATTGAGTTTCAGGCCTAGAGGAATTGCTTTGTCTGACCAAAAAACTGAAGACACTAGCTAACACTTTATATGGAGTTTAGATTTATGCACTAATGTGGGAGAGGATTTGAAAAACACAGAGGCTGAAAGCTCAAGGCACGGGGCTCAGTGCTCACCCAGGATGCGGCTGGCCTCGCTGCGGCTGCTCTCGGCGCTCTGGGAGCCCAGCTCTGCCCGGGCGTAGGAGCTCAGCTGGCACAGGAGGGTCTCACCCACAGGCCCGGGGTTGGATTTCTTCACCTGAGCCTGCAGCGCCAGCGCGTTGCGTCGGGCGTGCTCCGCGCAGAACGAGGTGCTGCGGGACAAACCACGGGCTCAGCAACACGAGTAACTGGGGTAGGAGGAACCTAAAAGCTGATCTGAGCCCTCCCTCTCCAACCTGTGTGCAGAACGAGGTGCTGCGGGACAAACCATGGGCTCAGCAGCATGAATAATTGGGCTAAAAGGAACCTAAAGTTGATCTGAGCACTCCCTTTCCAACCTGTGCGCAGAACAAGGTGTTCAGGGACAAACCACGGGCTCAGCAGCACGAATAATTGGGGTAGGAGGAAGCTAAAGCTGATCTGAGCCCTCCCTCTCCAACCTGTGTGCAGAATGAGGTGCTGCAGGGCAAACCATGGGCTCAGCAACATGAATAATTGGGCTAAAAGGAACCTAAAGTTGATCTGAGCACTCCCTTTCCAACCTGTGCGCAGCACGAGGTGTTGAGGGACAAACCACAGGCTCAGCAGCACGAATAATTAGGGTAAGAGGAACTAAAAGCTGATCTGAGCCCCTCTCCATCCTGATCC